ATGAGAGCAAAGTACAGCCCTTGGTACAGTGGGGCTGGAGCTCCATGCAGATGCTAGATATTAATACCATGGTAGCCTTAGACTAGGGTAGAGAATCCTGCCAGTGACCACCTGGGACCCCCTTGAACAGAAAGAACAATGACACTATATATTAGCAGACCTCTCTGATTGCCCACACCTGTCTCACAATGCTATGTCCTACTGCCCAAAGACCAACAGGCAGGTAGACCCACACCCCATCTAAGCCACCTCCCCATCTAACCTGTCCTTCATAAGGACATCCGAAGAGCAACTAGGGATTATTCTCCTGGTCGGGGCTGCCCCACTGGAGGCAGTTATTAGGGAACAGATTTTGTGGTAGCTTAATTGGAATAATAACTAGGCTTCAGAGTTCCCTGTTTTGTGAGTAAAGCTTCTTTCCTTTGAACTAAGTCCATGCCAAAGGCCTCCCTTCCTCAAGTGAGCCCCCGGTCACAGTGCCTACCAAAGCCTCAAATGAGTCCTGGCCCCTGTGAGCCAGCCCCACAAATCACCCTCTCCTTTATCCCAACAAAAGGGGCCGAGAGGACTCCATTTTCAAAGCTCAGATCTGAAGATGCAAAAGTAGGATGTGGAAGTGCTGAACTTCACCTTGGCCTTTGGTTTTCTCTTTCTATTGGTCCCTTCAGCCTCTCCCAAGAGCAAAGTCTGCTCTGGGAGATGACCTCAATATCACAAGGCACTTACTTTTTAGGGGCAAAACATGAAACCTAATCTATAAAGGACAGTTTAGAAAAGAAGAATCTCCTTTCCCTGCCATTCACAACTCCTACAGTATCCCCAAAAGTGACCCAGGCTGAAAGCTGTCCTTCAGGGCTGTGTGTGCCCTAGAGCACCTTCAAAGGGGCCCCGGTCTCTCTGTGCATCTTCCACCCCACAGCCAAACCCTGGCAGGAACCATGGGCTCGCCCCCAAAATACACTTTTTCCCACCTCTGTTATTACCACTCCCATCTAAACCCATCTTGAGTCTTGCCTGGACCTCTTGCTCATTCCCTAGCTTTCACCACTGTCCCCCCATAATCCAGGACTCCACACAGCAGCCAGAGTGATCTTTAAAAAGCATGAATCAGATCACAGCATGCCCCTACTGAAAATCTTTCAAAGGCTTCCTCCTGATCAAAGGACCATTTGCAAGCTCCTGACCACAAGAGCCTACACAATCTGGCTCCTGCCCACTTTGACAAGTTCACACTGACCATGATCCCCTTCCTCACCACTTTATAGCCACATGGGCCTCTTTTCATTTCCTCGAATAAGCCAAAGATTCCAGGCTTCGAGACCTGGCACAAGCTGTACCCTCTGTCTGGAATGTTTCATATGGTCTACGCATGTCTGACTCTTTACTCTCCAGGCAATTTGGGTTTAAACATCACCTGTGTCACCCTATCTAAAGAACTTGGCCATGTAGTCACTCAAGGTCTCCAGGGCAACCATCACAGTTGTGTTGGCTGAGCTACTTGTTGGCTCTCCTCCTTGTGAGTGTGTAAGGAGCATGTCTGTCTAGATCCCTGCAGGAGCCCCAGCAACCCCATCACACGGCAACCAGTTCATAATAGGGAGTGCTGAGTGTGCTCTTGTCCCCTTCGGAAGTGTCGGGACTACACAGCCCAGCTGGCCTGCCTGTGTCTTGCAGGAACAAACACCCCAGCCCAAGATTCCGTCCTATTTTCACAGCCTGCCTTCCCTGTCTTGACCTCACACATTTTCCACGAGGCTTTATTTGGTTGGGCTCCTGGCTAATGATCAATGTCAACTCAGTAATAGAGCAGCAATTTGGTGGCAGATGTTTTCTTGGCAGCCCTAGCTATTGGACTTAGTGGGGGCCTCAGGTCTGGCCTTGGAACACCACCACCCAATGCCAGCCCCCTTTAAAGACTTCTCCGCAAATAAACTCAAATAAACACCCTGGGCCTCCATTAACGCCCTTCCAGCTGACCCTGGGAACAGTGGGCCTTTCAGGTCTGCTACTGCAGTCCTCCCTGGGCAGTTAAACACCCCAATCTGGCCTCCGGCCTCTCCTCTCCAGGGGCCACCAGGCCTGCCCTGCCCGCCACCACACACAGCAGGATTTCGTCCTCCTCCTTAAAAAAGGGGGAAAGGGCTTTCAAGCAGGCAATTTACCATTCCAGACACAATCTTTCAAAGAGAAACAAAAACTCTCCCTGTCTGAGGCAGACCGCTAAGGCGTGTGTGTAATAAGATGCTAATACAATTTAATGATATTTCGGCTGGAAAACCTGTCCTCAGAGCCTCCTTGTGTCGGGAAGGCCAGACATTCAGAAAACAAGAGCTGCACACTTTTAAAACCGCTTGAAACGGGGGTCAGAGCCCCACTCTTTCCTATCTCTCATTAACTTTAATACCTTCTAGGGGACAGTAAATTGCAGTTACAAAAACGATTTTGTGCACACGAGGTAGAGAGCTGCTGCCTGCAATCCTCAACCCTGCTTCTCCAAGGCGAGGGAAGCTCAAACCTTCTAATACCATCGCTGCCCACCTGCAATTCCAAGTGTCCTAGAGAGACCCAGCTTCCCTAAAATGTGCTGCCTACACTCACCCTCCAAAGAATGAAAGGGACTTTGCTTTTAGTACTTCCTCACCCTATTCTTCACCTCAGAAAGGACAAAGCTCCATCCCTTTGCTCCAGGATCTGGTTGCCCAGTGGCATCTGCAGGATGCTTCAGATCTCTTCTTTAGAGAAGGGAGCTGGCTCTCTGGCCTAGCCTAAAGGTGAGAGAACAGGTCAAAGCTGCATTGAGGGGCTGGGGATGTGGCTCAAGTGGTAGCGCGCACGCCTGGCATGCGTGCGACCCGGGTTCGATCCTCAGCACCACATACCAGCGAGGATGTTGTGTCCGCGGAGAACTGAAAAATAAATATTAAAAATTCTCTCTCTCACTCTCTCTCTCTCCTCTCTTACTCTCTCTTTAAAAAAAAAAAAAAAGCTGCATTGAGACCCTGCCCAGGTCATTAGCAATAACAGTAAGAATGGCTAATGCTAATCAAGTGCTTACTACATGCCTAGCTTTGCATTTTAGACTTTTTTTTCCCCAGTGTTGGGGCCTTGCACATGCTAGGCAAGCACTTTACAGTTCTGGGCTGAGTCCTCCCCACCCTCTTTTTTCTTTTTAGTACTGGAGAGTGAACCCAGGAGTGCTTTGTCACTGAGCTACATCTCCAACTCTTTTTATTTTTTTTTAATTTTGAGATAGGGTCTCACTAAATTCTAAGGGTCATACTAAATGTCCAGGCTGGTCTCCTTGTGGCTTAGCCTTGGGAGTAGTTGAGCTGATGGGATTATAGGCCTGTGCATCTTAAATCTTTTTGAACGGGATCCTCAAGTGTTTCAATCCCATTGGCAGATGAAGAAACTGAGGCCCAGAACCATTATCAAAGCAGATGATCAGACAGCCAGGGTTCAAATCTAGGCTGTGTAACTCCAGAGGGGATAATCCATCCCCAAAAGGTTAATGTGAATATATAGATCTCCAATTTGCAGAGTTTGGGTAGGGTTATTCTCTAGTACTGAGAGGAGGACAATCTAGAGCCCCAGGACCAACCTCCCTGGGGTCCTAAGTTTTTAGTTGGGATCTGCAGTTGTAAGCTTTTGAGCCACATGGGTGGGGGGGCTAAGTGGGGGGACATGGTAAGGCAGGGGTATCCTCTCCTCAATTCTGACCTATTAAAAAAACTGTCAGGTTCCTAAGCAACTTACTGCAAGGAAGTCTCTGAACCCGGACCCGGGTAATGAGCATAAAAACAACCACCTCCCTATTAACAGAAACAATGGTTATAACCAGAACACCCTGCCCACAACCTCAAAGATGTAGCAGTCAGTGTCAGAAGCCTAACTTCAAGACTCCAAAGTGCATGTGGGGCCTGAGAAGCAGCAATCCCTCCATCACCTGTCAATGAGAGCTAAGTGGATGGGATTTCCGACAGTCTCTTCCATGTATGTTACTGGCCATCTAACCAGGCAATTTAAGGAAAGGAAAAGCATGTTGGATAGAAAAACATTCTGGAAACATCTGCTTCATCCAGAGCCCAAACAACTCAGTCCTTAAACACTTCATCTCCAAAAGTGCTGGGAAGACCCTTGGTCAAACAGTTGCAAAACCAACATTCTCTGCTTGAGGTGAGGAGTTCCCTCTGAGAGGCATTTGCTGGGGAACTAAATGCTTTTCCACTCAAAACAACAGCCAGCAGCACTTGGGACAACTGAGAAGGCTCCAGATCAAACAAGCTTTCCTTTTTTTTTCCCCCTACCATGCTAACTTTCTCAATAAATTATTCGCCCACTTCGGATCAAAGCCTGTTTTTGCAGCCTGTGACCTAAAAAGCAAATAGCATCGCTTAAACATGAAAGCCCTCCTCCCTGCCTGGGTCAGCTTTATTACTCATTCCTTCCCCCTTTACAGTTATTCTGTTGTTATTTTCCTCCCCTGCTTGGTAGATCTCCCTGCGAGTCCCAACCCGCCTGAAGAAGACAGGAGGGATAGTGCATTTGTTTGGGGCCCTAAGGTGAGAAAGGAAGTCAGGGTACCGGAGAACCCAGCACCCTGGGAACCCAGGAAACAGGGCCAGGCCCGGTTGGCAGATCTCTGCCTGGCCCTTTAGCCAAATGTCCTACTGGGAATTTTACCAGTGAAAAAGGGAGTCAGTGCCACTCTGGAAGGAGAGGCCAGGAGATCCTACTACCTCCCAAGGCCAGGGACTAGATTTGCAAACATAAAAGTTTAGGGATTATCCAGTTTATCTGGGCTCAGGGGTCTTCTTTCTTTCAATGAAGGGGCTCAGACCCTTCTAGATCCTTTGGCACTGCTCTGGATACAAACATGACCCCTCTTGATGACCCCCTACAAACTGCCTCTGGATAAAACTTTGTGCCTTGGAACCGTAAAAGACCAACCGGGGGTGCTAGATGCAGGGGTGTGGTTTAGAAATCTGCAGAGACCAAGGATGCGGGTTGCAAACTGCCTTTGGCAAAAGAAAGCTAGCGCCCCTCCCCCTCCCCAGCCCCCAGCACGAGGTTGGCGGCCAAGCCCGTAAAAAAAAGTGCCCCGGCCGGGCGGCAGAGGCTAAGGGGATTAGAAGGGGGCTTGTGCGCGCCTCCAGCCCGCCCCTGGAGGCAGTACGCGGGACCGCAGGCTGGAGGCGCGCCGGCGTGATTCCGACCGCGGGAGCCTGGAGGAGGAGCCGGAGGTAGCTGCGGGGTGCTCCAGCCCAGGCGAAGGAAGGGCAAGAGGCGGTTCGGACCCGGGGCGGCGCCGGGAGGTGGGTGGGCTTGTCGCCCCTGGCGGGGGAGGGGTCTAGAAGACTCTGGGAAGGGCACTGGAGACCCAGAGGTGGGGGTTGGGGAGGGAGAGCGGGGCAGCGGTGTGTAGTAGGGGACAAGGTTGGTGGGGGGGCTGGGCCTCTGGAAGCTAGAGTGAAGGCTTCCTGCCTGTCTCACAGACATCCTCATCCTCCGGCGGAACAGCTCCGAATGGCCAAGCTGACCCCTTCTCATCCCTTGGCCTAGAAGGGGTGCCTCAAGACCCAGGGATGGGCGGGAAGGGACCATGGGGAGCCACAAGTCTGCACCCCGGCGGGGAGAAGGCGGGAGGGAGCCGCTCCGCAGGCGCAGGCGAGTGGGTGGGAAGGAGGGAGGGAGAGGGAGGAAGGAGGTGAGGCCGGGAAGATGCCACTGCCGGGGGCGGGGCGGGGCCGGGGATCCGGCGGAGGGACTGCAGCAGTGCTCGGTGGGGGCGGGGGCTGCAATGTCGCTCATTTGGGGGTCAGGTGTGTGCATCCCAGCCAGGGTCGGCTGCCAGTCAGCACCTTCCCCATATCACCCAGGGCCTAAGGGCGGAGGCGGAGGGCAGGGGACTGCGGAGCTGTCCCTGGAGCGGGACGCGAACCGGCAGAGTTGGGAGAAGGTAAACAAGGGCCACGCCCCCTGCCGTCGCCCCGCGGGCGCGCACCCGCCGCTCCGGCCGCCGCCGGTACATTTCCACTCTCCCAGCGCTTCTCCCCCGCCGGACTCCCGCGCAGCCCTGGGGGTGGGGGGACCTGTCCCCGACCCCAGCCCGAGCCCCAGGCGCCAAGGCTGCGCACCCTCCAAACTCACCTGTAAAGGGTGTCCCCCGACCCTCCAAAAAAAAACTGTCTAATTTGTGCAGAGCCTCTGAGCCCAGGAGCCGAGCATGCTGCCCCCGCGTGCAGCGCCCGCGTGCACCCAGCCCGGAGAGGGGGCGCCGGGCGGAGGCGGTGGCCCCCGGAAGGTGTCTGGGACCGGACCGGCTGCACGTGAGCCCAGCGCCGGGTCATGTGCACCAGCTCAGCCCGGTTCGGCGGCTGGACGTGCTGCGTATCAACAAAATGAAACTCAGGACGACAGGAGGGCAGATAGCTCCAGGTTCTCCGAATCTCCAACCCCGGACGCTCGGCCTCCCCCCGCACCCCTCTCCCGCCGCAGCCCCTCCAACCGGCCGGAGCCCGCGGGGCAAGTTGCAACCTCCGCGCGCCCCCGCCCTCCCGCGCCCCCTCGCCGGCCCAGGGGCGCTTTGCCGCAGTCATTAATAAAGAAGGTCGCCAGGCTCACCCTTCCAAAAGTTGTTGTTGCATGCGCCCCTCTCAGCCTCCCCGCACCGTACTCTTTAAACGACTGACCAACATGCGCAATCTCTCTCCCCAGTGCTGTGCATCCCCCCCACCCCCCGCGCTGGCTTCCTAGAACAGGCAGCCAGCAAGAGAGAGAGGGAGCGAGCGAGCAAGAGAGAGAGCGAGGAGCGCTAGCAGATCTGTTGCAAAAACACAAAATAATGCCGTGGAGATGCGCAGGGCCCAGCCACCGGGGGCTGGATCTTACCTTGCTCCGCGGTGCCCTCCCGAGGGGCGCTGCCCTCGGCTACGCGCCGCGGCGGGGGCCGGCGCGGGAAGGATGCTCCCGAAACCAGGAGCTCCTGGGGCCGGCGCGGGAGGGCGGGGGGCGCGCATCCATCCGGGGTCGTGGCGAGGGAGGCGGCCGTGCCCGCGGCGTCCCCAGCCCCGCGCTCCTGCTGGGGACGGTTAGCCCGCCAGACTCGAGCTGGTGCCGCTAGGAGTGGGAGCAAAGTAACTCCATGGACGCTACTCACCCCCCCAAAAAATAGCCTCCAACTGCGATGGCCGCGGTCGGCACCATTCACCAACCCCCTGTGTATGTTTCTGTTTCTTTTTAAACCAAGACTTCCTTGTGATCTCTTTAGAAAAAAAAAAAATGTGTTGGGGTGGGGG